GGGTCCGGGCTGGGGATTCGAACCCACCACCTTAGGTGTACGTGGCTGGCGCCTTAGCCGGTTGAGCTATAGGCGCCGAGCCCAATTTCATTTTTTTTTGAGACAGAGTCTCACTCTGTTGCCCTGGGCAGAGTGCCATGGTATCACACCTCACAGCAACCTCAAGGTCTTGGGCTTAAGCGATTCTCTTGCCTCAGCCTCCTAAGTAGCTGGGACTAGACGCGCCTGTCACAATGCTGGGCTATTTTTTGGTTGCAGCCATCATTGTTCTTTGGCAGGCCCAGGCTGGATTCGAACCTGTTAGTTCTGGTGTATGTGGCTGCCGCCCTAGCCGCTGAGCTACAGGCGCAGAGCCTAATTTTTCTATTTTTAGTAGAGACACAGCAGGAGCTGTGGTCTCACTGTTGCTCAGGCTGGTCTCTAACTCCCTGGTGCTTGGGCCTACTGGGACTAGGATTAAAGGTGTGTGTCCCCACTCCCCCTCACAAGAATGTTTCTTTGCTTCCAGTAGGAGGGTAAAAGGGAGCTGGTAGTACGGAGGCTTGGGAGAGGGACTAGGCAGCTCCTCAGCTCTATCTGTATTACAATACTTACCGTAGTGTATTTACATTACAAGGTACCGCACCCACCTCAGAGAGCAAGGGCTAAGTTTGTTCGTGGCGCCTCAGGAACTTTGTCCCGCAACTGGCTCCGCCCGCTCCCAGCCCCGTCTACCCAAGTCCCACCCCCAGGAGATTTCCGTCTTCTTTGCCCTGGCCTGGCTCTAAAGGGCTCGGCTCCGCCCCAGAGCAACGGTTTCCTCCTAACACCGCAGGACTGGAGTGATTGACGAGTCTGTTCTCCAATCACACGCCGAGTGGTCACATAATTGCCACTAGGCGATAACAGAGGCGGGTACCGAAGCCTGGGGGTGGCGGTGGGTGACCAGGAAGTGAGAGCCAAGATTGGGAAGGAGGAGGAATCAAGACCAGTCGGTGGTGGAAAGGTGACAGAGCATCTGGACTCGTCAGTTTCCTTCTTTGCGGGTTACTGGGCTGAGGTCCCTTCACAGCTGAGAGCTAGCATCTCCGTTTGCTTGTCTTTTGGAGGAAGAGGTGTGCGTCTGCATATTTAGACTTTTACGGATCTTTCTTGGGCAGCCTTCCTCTCACTTCGTCTTGAGACGTGTCCTCTTGGCCTGAGGTGGGGGTACTTTCCAGGGAGAGAGATCCTTTCTTAACCTCTGTGGATGGTTACAGACTTTAGGACTTAGTACCAGGGAAAGGGATCCGAGATTCGCAACTCTTCCCTGTTCCACGCCAGAGCTAGTGGAAGGTGGCGGGGCCCTGGGAACTAGATTCCAGTGATTAGGGAACTAGGAATAAAGTAGGTATTGGGGGTGAAGGAAAAAGTGGAAAGAAACATTTCTTATTGAAGGTCGTGGTAGTTGGGAAACGTTGGGGTTGGGCTCCGCCTCTTAATCTACCTCCCACATCTGGGCCATCATCTTTTTGCCTCCTTTCTCCACAGGCTGGGGGAAACACCTGAACATGTGGAATCCCAATGCTGGTAGGTTTGGGGGATCTCTACTGCCACTGCTAACCCTTTTTTCTGACGGGTCGTATAACGAGAAACTTCTGTATCGCCCTCTTTCCCCACCTCACCTCACCAGCTAAAGCAATCCTGTACCATAGTTGACCAATGTTTTTGTCTTTCCTTAGAGTTCACTGTCTCCCCTTAGCCTTTCCAGGGACATTCCCCCTTTTCTCCCCAACTCAAGTTTGTCCTCTGTACCTTCTATTTTTCTTCCTCACCTTTCCATTTCTCTTTAGGTATTGGTTGAGCAAGTGAATCTCTTTTTGTTGTTTGTTGTCAGAGGCTTGGGGCAATTCTAATCTTTGTTTTCTGCTTCTTCCACCAGGGCAACCAGGGCCAAATCCATATCCCCCTAACATCGGGTGCCCTGGAGGTTCCAATCCTGCCCATCCACCACCTGTCAATCCAGCCTTTCCTCCTGGACCCATTCCTGCTCCCCCAGGAGTTTCCCAGGGAAATCCAGCTTTCCCTCCAGCTGGGCCTCCTTATCCTGTGCCACAGCCAGGGTATCCAGGATGCCAACCCCCAGGTCCCTACCCTCCTCCATACCCACCACCTGCTCCTGGCATGCCTCCTGTGAATCCCTTGGCTCCTGGCATGTTTGGACCAGGAATGACGAATGACAAGAAGATGAGGAAGAAAATGAAGAAAGCTCATAAAAAGATGCACAAACACCACAAGCATGGCAAGGTTAGTGCCCTCTGGAGCCTGGCTAGGGAAAGGGTGCCCTGTGGGAGTGGCTAGCTTGTCAGGCAGGTGTTGAGTGAGGGGGACTTAACAGCCTGTGGACATGGACAATGGCAATTGGGTTGCTCTGGAACATGGTTCTTCCTTTTTGTAAAAGATTGCTACTGGGAAGAATCTGATCATCGGGCTTCTCTTATCTGGAAGGGGGCCAGGGAAAGCCTTAAAATGCATTTAGGAATCAGAAGCCTGTCTTATCTGCCTTACTTTCTTTCAGAAAATTTATTATTATTATTTTTGAGACAGAGTCTCAAGCTGTCACTCTGAGTAGAGTGTCGTGGCATCATAGCTCACAGCAACCTCCAACTCTTGGCTCAAGCGATCCTCTTGCCTCAAATTTTCTATTTTTAGTAGAGACAGGGTCTTGCTTTTGCTCAGGCTTGTCTCAAACTCATGAGGTCAAGCAATCCATCTGCCTCGGCCTCCCAGAATGCTAGGATTACAGGCGTGAGCCACTGCACCCAGCCTTCTCTCAGAATTTTTGCTCCCCATCTCCAGGTACATGTTTTAGCAAGTTGGATGCCCCCACTGAGGTTGTCAAAATGTTATTTAATAGGGTCAGTCCTTTGACTGAACAAAATATTATATAATAATTAACAGAATAATAATCTGGCCTAAGTTCCTAGAGTTCTTTATCTCCTCCAGTATTCCTAGGGTGTGGTGCTAATTACATGGGCCTTTTGCCCTACCATCCATCTGGGAAACTGGGGACAAACATAGTCAATGACTCAGTCTCAAAGTGTAGGACTAGTCAGTGACTGACTCAGCCACAAACAAAGCCTAGTACTAAGGGGGTTTCATACCCACCCCCATAGCTTAGTGTCTTTGTTCTAGAGAAGTGTTACTTAGCAAGAAGAAGAGTAGGTTGGAGGACAGCTCCCAAAGGATTAAAGACACCTGCATTTTGAGGCTTCAATTTACATTTTGCTACCCTATATTTATTTGCCTTTTGAATTTGGGCTCTAATTGCAATTCTAAGTCTTGGGTAGAAGACTGAGGAGAATGAAAAGTGAAATTGGGCTTGGCGCCTATAGCTCAACCGGCTAAGGCGCTAGCCATGTACACCTAAGGTGGCGGGTTCGAATCCCCAGCCTGGACCCGCCAAACAACAATGACGGCTGCAACCAAAAAAATAGCCGGGCGTTGTGGCGGGCGCCTGTGGTCCCAGCTACTTGGGAGGCGGAGGCAGGAGACTCGTTTGAGCCCAGGAGTTGGAGGTTGCTGTGAGCTGTAATGCCACAGCACTCTACCCAGGGGGACAGCTTGAGGCTCTGTCTCAAAAAAAAAAAAAAAAAGAAAAGTGAAATTGAATGGGAGAAAAGGGAGAGATTATCCTGGGGAGACTAAAAAATGATTTTTAGTAGTAGTTTAATGGGAGTATGCATGTAAAGAACCTTGAATAGAACTCCTCCAGCCTTCCCTCTTACCTTCCCCACTTTCTCCCATTGAGCTTAGGAAAAAGTAGAGATGCATGCACACACAGCTGTCGTTTGTTTCTGCTTAGATTCACAGGGACTTTGCATGATGCTAATCAATAAGCATTTACAAAGTAGCAGCTGTTTCTTAGCCATTTACTATGCTTGTGCCTATAATTTATTTCTTGCCTAGGTATTGCTTAGGTAAAAAAGTTGGAAACTTGCTGCAAAGGTAATATGCTAAATGGTTTAATCCAGGTGTCCTCAAACTATGGCTCGCGCGCCACATGCAGCCCGCCTAGGACATTTATCTGGCCCGCTACTGCCTGTCCTGCTTAGCAGTCAACTTGTCCTGGGGCCCGCAGTCTAGCCCTCCAGTGAACTGGCCCGGTTTAAAAAGTTTGAGGACTGGGGCGGCACCTGTGGCTCAAAGGAGTAGAGCACTGGCCCCATATGCTGGAGGTGGTGGGTTCAAGCCCAGCCCCAGCCAAAAACTGCAAAAAAAAAAAAAAAGTTTAAGAACCCATGGAAATCCATTCCAGTTTGCTCATCACTAAAGAAAACCCTTGCTTTTGTTGGTTAAAGTACAGTATAGTTCAAGACTCCTGACCTTTTTAGAGAAACAAGGGATACTTGTATAGAGGGGTGGGACACCAAAGACTGGCCTGTGGAATGATCAAAGGTCATTTGGATCTGATGCTGTCTCCTTTCTCCTTTCCCCTTGCAGCATTCCTCCTCCTCTTCCTCCTCTTCCAGCAGTGACTCTGACTGAATACAGGGCCTGGACCCTTCCCTCAAGTCTCACCAGTTCTGCTCTCCCATCAAGCTTCAGATGTCATGTTGTACTAGTGGAAATTACCTCTTGCACCCTCACCTGAGCCTCACTCTGCTGTTCAGCCCTGACTGGCTAGGGAAAATGGGAAAAAGATTGTTATGGGCTAGCAAAGGCTATCTCTTCTTGCTGCGTGGATAGATCTTATAGCTGATGAGTTTAGCAGGGGAACTATTTCTTGAAGATGGTAAGACCTTTGAGCTAAATGCTGAAGACAAGTTTAAGATCTATAAAATGTGATTTTTTTTTTTTAAGAGACCATCTCACTTTATTGCCCTTGGTAGAGTGCTGTGGCGTCACAGCTCACAGCAACCTCCAACTCCTGGGCTTAGGTGATTCTCTTCCCCCAGCCCCCAAAGGAGCTAGGACTATAGGTGCCCGCCACAACGCCCAGCTATTTTTTGTTGTTGTTGTTGCAGTTTGGCCGGGGCTGGGTTTGAACCCACCACCCAAAGTACATGGGGCTGGCGCCCTACTCACTGAGCCACAGGCACTGCCCGATTTTTTTTTTTTTTTTACTTCCTTCTGTAATACTTGTGGTTGGGAGGTGTTGTGGAAATTTAACTACGAAGAAAAACTACCTTTTTGTAATGTTGGCACACTTGGGCAATTAGTGGGAAGTATACTTCCCAGCAGAACTTTTAATGATTATACTAATTGCAGGGTTGTTGGGAGGTAAATCCATGTGGTTGACAAGCTCTGCCATATTGGAACCTAGTCTCTACTCCTTAGCTCTATATGAGATTTCATGTCCTACTTTCATTATCTAGCTCTCAGTCCAAATAAAGCCATTTCTCCTGGTCTCTGTTTGCACATTCTACTATTATTGCTACCTTTTTGCAGACCCTTTGAAGTGTATCTGTTTTATAGTAAGGGTGCCTATGTTTCCTTTTTTGTTTTTTAGATGGGATCTCACTATGTTGCCCAGGCTGGTCTGGGCTGCCAGGGTCCTCCTACCTTAGCCTTCCAAGCAGCTGAGATTACACCCTTCTCTTCCCTTCCCTCCTTTTCTTTCCTTTTTTTTTTTTTTTTTGAGATATAAGTCTTAGCTGCCTTGAATAGAGGGGCATGGCATCATAGCTTACAGCAATTTCTTTTTTTTTTTAGTTTTTGGCCTGGGCTGGGTTTGAACCCACCACATCTGGTATATGGGGCCGGCGCCCTACTCACTGAGCCACAGCTGCCACCCACTCAACAATCTCAAACTCTTGGGCTTGAGCAATCCTCTTGCCTCAGCTGAGTATCTGGGCCTACAGGTTTGCCCCACTGTGCCAGACTAGTTTTCTCTATTTCTAGTAGAGATGGGGTCTCACTTGTTCAGGCTGGTCTCAACTCCTAAGCTCAAGCAATCCACCTGCCTTGGCCTCTCAGAATGCTAGGATTATAGGACTGATCCACCATGCCTAACCTACAGTCTTTTTTTTTTTT